TATTTCATTACACTTTAATGATTCACCTTTGCACCTTTACTTTTCTAAAACAGCTTACTATCCCTTGTAGACGTTGTACTTACCTCAATATTGGTTGGTTATCGTATGCCTACAACTACGGGTTAAAAACGAAACGAAGTCGATTTTCCTGCGCAACCTGGAGGACTACTGTTTAATTCAATAATGATACGACATGGCTGTTCAAACATTATTAACTTGTAGACAATCTACTATTTGACATTATAACATACTTGATCGTGCCTGTAAAAATGGCATGCATTTTCATATGAATTTATGTTTATATGAAAATATAAATTATTATTTATTTATTTTATTATAGCTTGATTCCACACAGTATTTTGTTACAACTGTGGAATTTTCAGCATGTGATATCAGTAGCCCAAATGTAGCAAACCGAACACTGATATCAGGTGTGCGTCGGCCGGAGATCGAATCACGGGCCATTTGCACGGTCGGCGAGCACCCTAACCGCTGTGCCACCGACGCAATTAATCCGTCTTAGATATATCGTCCATTATACAAATTCCTAAATTCCGATTTTCCTTCTTCCGTGTTCTGCGTCATGTTGACGCACTACGAAGACACATGTATCATATTTCTTTGATTGGAGTGTGTTGGGGGTAGCTTAGTACTGTGGTTTGGGTGGGTCAGGTTATGGGTATCAACAAGTAGGTCTATCAGGACCGGTGTCGATAGGGTGGTTAATGTTGGGGATAGCAAGTTGGTGGGCTGAGAACACTTCACGCGGTGTTAGTAATAAGCACCCTAGACCATCACTTCTGGATCAACGAAAACGGTAGGATTTAAAACCCAGGAGACTTTTGTACCTAAATACAGAAATAATTGTTACTTATATATGTGGCCATGCACTTCTGTGGCTCTCTGTTTGCTTTGTGTATGACACATTTTATGCAACAACACCTGAATGAAATATATAGTAGTTTTTTTTGGATCCTTACCTAAGAGCAGTGGTCATAAAAATGCTTTTGATTATACAGGGACAACAGCGTGAACAGTACTCTAGTATATACGCTTTCTTTTTATCTAGTGAAAGCTTGAGTTTTGAAAAGGAATACTGGTCAGACTTTAGTGACTTTCGTTCATCGCAGACTAACCTTAAGTGATATGACGGCAACAATAATAGGGCTTCATTTCAAGCGATGTATATGATCATTTTACTATTTTACTGTGGAAGCCTTCAGTTGAAAAGAATATAAGGAAAAAGTTGAATGGGTCTTAGGTACCCCCGAACTTCACAAAACGTTGTCCGATAAAAATCAGAAAACAGTTACCGACGTCGTTCGTATTCCAGACCAAAAGCGGAAGTTCGTTTGTGTCGCTCTGAGTACTCAAGCAATCTGAAGGGCGTGTAGCGGTAGGTAATTATCCAGAAAAATTAGCCACAGAATTCATCATTGAACATTGAATGCTGACGCTCACTATTTAAGTCGAGTTGTTTTGCTTCATCTTTGGTTTGCGCGGAACGAATAACGTAGAAATTGTGGGTATAAGATCTTGTGTTAGTATATAACCTACCATCCGTGAACTTTAAAATCCTGAGCCTCTAAAGGTTTTTCATATAATTTGGGTCAGGGGTAACTTAGGACAGAAGCCAAACACTCAATAAGTACAGTCAAGATCACTACCACCTCTTAGACTTTGCATACATACGTAAAGGTATCCAACCATGGGCTGTTTCCACAGGTGTTTGAATACACGCGTGATCTCACCTTGAGGCTTACAGTATTATTCACTCAGTAAATGATGTGGTCCGATCTAATTAATAAGCTTTAACTGTCTAAAATATACTAAGACAATACCATAGGAAAATTAGGAAGGAATACTAATTAAAGAATAAGGGTATGGACGTAATTGGCATCTCCCTATTCAAGCATGTTCCTTGTTTAGTTCACGGTCAGCTGATGCTTATATGATGCTTTTTCCTCCCTAACCAGAAAATACCTATTTTGTGAATTGTCCGATTGGAAAACCTGATATTCCTAGCCGGTGAATTAAATTCGTCCATTATTTTCACACTGAATCTCTGTTTGGTAACTCCAGCTGTCTCGAGCTACTGACAAAGCTTCAAGGGCTACATTTTTAGCTGCATCTTCCTCACTCGATCAGATAAACAATACCTGTGGGTCTGCCATGTGATTACCATGAAGCCAAGTAACCCAAAAGTGGTAGGTGAAGTCGAAAACATTTTATTTTTCTTATCTCATACTTCACCAATCTGTTTGTTCGTGTTCTGTTTGACGTATTCTGTTGCCATCTCTTTATTCACATATAGGCATAATGTGTAGTAATTGGTAATGTGGTGGTCAAAACTAGCCTTCAGAAGAGCACTAAAACACCAGACTCCCTAGTGACCAGGGCTCCAGCCAGAGGAGGAAACAACCCAAGGATATTAACCCCATCTCACATACTGGTTTATAAGGCCCGTGTAAATATCCCTGCTCTAATAGTATGCCCACATTGCCACAGTCCAGAACTGAAACTGCACATTCGAAACCGAGTGGACACGCTACTACACCGGTATCCATAGGAAGTCAGTGTATCACGCCCAGCAAAACTAAAAAGAAACGCTCATGACGTCACAAGACCCCGAAGGCACCTTCCGCAAAACGACTGACTGCCAAGCCCGTAGTATTGTTGCTTCCAAAAGTGACTCAGCATTTGAATGCATTTTTGCAAATGATGGGTGCGCTGCTGTTGTGATAAAGGAGTGCCGAAAACATATTATGAGTTTGTGCGAAATAACCCATGGGAATGGTTCAGGCATATTCGCCCACTTTGTCGCCCTAGCACAACCTGACAAAGTGTCCTCAGATGACAGAAACAGCACGCCACTTTTATATCGTGACAGGTCTCACGCAGTGCTCCACTTGGTCCCACCACATCTCTAAGACTTAGTAAAAACCGTTAAAAGGATATTTTAGCCCAACCAACTAGAAATATCAATCCCCATAATTTGAAGACTTCCTGGGTTACATCCAGAACAGCAAGGGATAATGGAATTGGCAAAGCACCGCTTGTATCTGCTAGCAAGCATGGCGACATAACAAACACTAATGAGACCCTGATGAATGCGAAAGTGGTTCACCCTACAAAGGAGGACAAGCAGCCCAAGACCAAAATTAAGTTTGAGGTCAGTCGATCAAATTCCCTAATCCTGTCTAATGTACCCGTGTGCAAAGATAGTTTGCCTGAACAAAGGGCTCTGCTTGATCAGAAACAGTCGTCCAATTTGTGAAATAAATTAGGTCTGAGCATCAATTCAGCAAGATTGTGCAGGCTGTACTGGGGTCTTCAGGAGCCTCAAAGTAAGCCACCTCTTAAGTATGACACTGGGCTCCGTCGGAAAGGCTGAAAGAATACCGTAGCTGACTCAAATATTAGCTATCGACAGGAGTCCCAATATGAAAGTAAGACATGATAGGCCATAAGCTAACAGGCAGATAGCGAGAGAGTCACCGCGGCTGATGTCCTTTACTTCAGTGGTCATCCACGGCGTTCCGGAGATGAAAACTGGCACTGCTTGTGAAAGACACATGCATGGCGTAGAGAAATGGAGATGACTGTTATCTCAGACGGCCCTTGATGCTTCTGGAGAAATCTCGATTTTCCAGCCAGCTCGTCCCGCTCATCTCACATTGATTAGCTCCCCAGGGCTACTAGCTATCAAACTCAGTTTCCAGGAACATTTGGCTCTAGTACTTCAACGGTGGTACGAGGACAAGGGTGAAATGGCAGAACATATCCGAAGCTGCGAAATCAAAACTCCAACCATAAAGAGGCAACAAACTAAAGTCAGAATACGTCCCCATGCCTAAGTTGTTCTCGTAAAATATCCTCTACCAGCAGACAACTTAGCTTCAACTACTCCACAACACGCTGAGGTTGTGAGACTCACTGTCACCTGCCTGTGTAGTAGAGGGTGCTGAGAGGGGAAGACCAGACCACGGGGGATGTAGCGAGGGCATATGCTGTCATACAATTTACACAGACAGTTAAATGCACTCACTCCTGGGGTCTTCCTTAGTCTGTACAAAGCACACGTCAGCAAACACCTTGAAATGCACAATATCATTACATCCACACTGCTTAGAAGAGATGCGAACATTTTGGACAGAGTCCAAAGAAGGGCAAAAAAAGGAATAATGGGTATCCAAAATGAACCACATGATGAGCGGCAAAAGAAATTAGTTCTTTTCACACTTAGCTACCGTTGGCTAAGAGATAACTTGATTACTGCCCACAGGATAAAGAATGACCACAGTCACCCAAACAAAGGTGTTCTACCATTTAGCACGCATGTGCCTCCCAGCTGAAATCGACAAAGGATAGCTCACCAGGGGGCGAAGAATCGAGTGCGCTACCATTTCTTACCACTGTGAATTTTCCGTCCCTGAAGCTCTTAACCATTAGGCATAGCTACAACACCGTCTGTGGATAGCTTTAAGCGGGGGCTGAACAACCATGCAGCGAAAAAAGGAGTGAGTCCAAGCGGCCCATCCTTTTAAATCTTATACACTATTATTGGGTTGACACATAAATTCATCGTCTTACCTCTTCATATTCTGTCTTGTCTTATTCTACTACAAGCTACATACAATGAATCTCATCACCACTACTTTTGGAGCCAACCAAAGCTACGACAGTCCAGTGACGGGTCGAAATACTCAGATTTTTACCAAAGACCATGAAACTTTACCTCTCAACCAAGAAGTGGATCACACAGATCAAAATGGATTACACTGGCTAGTAAAAAACGATAATGACTACTGGATGCCCATTCTTCAAAGAACTGTAGTTTTGCAGCACTAAATTTGCACTTAAACTGTATCTAAACACTTCAAAAAGTTATTTTTACTTCGTAATAATTTATATACTCACTGATATAACAGTTTCGCATTGATGGGTTTCACCTGAATGTTAAGACTGGTTTAATCGTTTAAATGCATTAAGGAATGGATACTTGTAAACACGTCCAGTGGAGCAAATTTTGAAAATACTTTTTAAGTGTTCGTGAGTTTGATCTTATAACATTCCTGAAAAATGCATTTTATTCTATAAGTTTTTTTTCAACGAAACTACAAGTGATTCTAAACTTTAGTTGCTCTCCGCTATTTAGTGCCGTTTTTCTTCAATTAGCGTGTAAATTGTTTTGATATAATTCGAAGTAGTACATGTCTGATGAGATTTGCTTGTTCAGTTAAATACGTGTACATTGAGCCTCGTGTTTATACGTCTATAAGTGTAGTAATTTAGTCGTGTAAATATTCGTGCAAATGTTACAAGACTCCACTATCATATTGAGAAATGGCACATCTCCCTTTAACACTAACGCACTGTCACTGTTGTAGTTATTATCATGTTTTTTTGTTCTTTTAGTTTATTTCATGAGACTTTACAAAAACGGAATGTTGCTGCATGAGAATTCACCAAAATGATTTTTCGTTATGAAAGGAGGAAACATGTGACATGTCCTAACCCTTTCATTAGATACTGCCTCGAATTCTTGAAATATTCATTGAATAGGTTTCGTATATCGAAGGCCTCTGTTTTTTGGCATAATTATCATAATTTTAAAAGTCGTTTCCCCATAATTTGGATTAATCATAAAAATCTTATTACAATAAATTAACTTCTACTCCTTCTTCGTCGGCAATTCCAACTTATGGTTTATTCAAAATAAATGCCATAGTGGACTCAGTTTTCTTTTGGTGATAGGAAGTTTTGGTTTAACAGTGACTGAAGCTTCGTATTTCGATGTTTACAGTGATTTTTTATGTTTTGTGACAAACTAATACGAACATTTAATCTATTTAATCCCCACTAAGCTTCAAGCCTTTCAAAAGACATATCATTTCAATAACTTAATGCCCTAACCTCAAAGTATGCTGTATACAGCCATGTCTCATCCTACTTAGTCGCAGTCAACTGCCGAATTTAAAGGGCTAACAGTCCTTTCGACTTGAAAGGACGTAGCAAAAATATTCATTCAGATATTTAAAAGATAAAAGAAAATTCGAGCAAAAAACATTCTTTTCAACAGTGCATATGTAACCATCTGTAGGTATACACTAAGTCAAAAAGTTTTTGCCTTACAGAAACCAAATTACATGAGTGTAAAAATAATTTAAGACGTTCATATGCAAGATTTCATTCATATTACTTCTTCAGTATAGGGTTCACATCTGCTAAAGCATTCATTTATCCTATCTAATCTATTCTAGTGGATGTCAACTGTTCAGACGTATTTTCATTTCAGAGCTTAAAATCAAAGCTTTATGGTTGTCATAAGGTAATTTAGCAGAAGTATGAAGGTAAAACTAAAACAAACCACATAATATAAAGATAAATTACCGATCAAATTGTAAATAAAGCGAATGAATCTAGAATGATAGAAAGAGCAGTGTTAAGCCTCACGTAGAAGTGCAACAATTTAGTATTAAAAGGGTGTTGAGCTAAACACTATAATACATAGACAGTTAACGAAAACTATTGTCAAGGAAGGGAGAACGATTTTATCCGGGAAGCAGTTACACTTCAATCTGTTTTCTAATATGTTATCATTCACTGTTATCACAGTAATATATGTAGTTTACAGTGACTTTGTTACTTTAGAAATGAATAGGTCACAAATCTCCAAGCACAACGCATTAGTGTAAATAAAAAAAACATTCGGCTGGATATATAAATCATATTAATCACATTATTCGCATTTTCCCGTCTTTGTTAACCAGTCAGTCACTTATTTTTTCTCCTGAGTTCGTGACTTTTCATAACTTCTCACATTTTTATTTGTGTTGCCTTCTCACTCAACGTTTTGGTGTAAAACATGTCAGTTTTTGTGCTGTTTGTGCTTATTCATCTATTTTAGGAAGTTTACCACAATTGTAACCTCTGAAATGGTAGTACTACTCATTGTTTAGAGATATAGATCTTTGTCAGAATACTATTATTTAATAATCTTAGTAACATGTGAGGAAAACGCATTCCCCAAACACTTGACTTCATTCGAAATACAACATTAGCTAGTGCGATTAACGCTATACTGAATGATATATATACATATATGGTCGCTCGAATTTTGAAAGAAATTAACACGCAATCATCTTACCTCTTTTATTTTCGGTAGTTCTTTACTACATCAGTAGCTGAAATAATCGTTTGCAACTCTTCCTTCCTTTCTTAATCTTAATCCTGGAATTTCAAGAAATTAATCGAACTGGCATATTATAGAACAGTTTGAATAAACATTCCAACAATTATACTCATGTGACATTACAGAATAAATAAATAAAATGAGGCCATGACAGAACGTCCATCAGGTATCTAAGGCTACACACAAATATCTCACAGATAACTTGCATACATTGTCTTCAAATGGCTTAGTTATATGCTTGCTTTTAGTGACATTTTGTAGACTCTTCAAGAAAAATGGAGCCTTAAAGAATTCTATGTACAGATGGCTATTATGTTGTGCATAATACTTTAAAGAGCAGTTCAAGTGGCCTACCACTGCTCATTATCGAAAACAGACCCAAGTTGCCATGTGCCCTTCAAAGGGATCACGCTGATCAATTAAATGTCTAAGATACTGAAATTCATGTTTATTTGAAGAATATCTAAGTCATCTATTGAATCTTCATTCTTCGACCGGTTTTAAAACCTCTGCATACCTACTGGCATCCAACAAGCTATGCTTCTTGACTTGAAAGGCTATTTGTGTCTTGTCGATCAATAGGTATTGTAGCGATGAAAGGACAGGGATTTCATTTTATTCATAAGGTCTCTTACTTAATGAAACGGGAGAATATGAACACGCATCAACATATAGACGATGATCAATGTAATTGTTGAGTTTAGCCTATCAGTTGTTCAATGTAAACATTAGATGGTTGGAGGCAATCGGGAGGAAGCCTTGGACCTAGATTTCATGCTAGCTGGCACTCACCAGTCAGCAAGGCATATATGCGACCTTGAAGGAACTCGTGTCCCTTCTGAGATTCGAACCCGTTTCACCCGGTGCTGTCAGAGACGTTACCACTGAGCTATTCGAGCGTGCTATTGACCTCCTGTAGGGCTGTATTGGATACTCAGAACAGAACTTAGTCCGCACCAAGCAAAGGACTAGACACGCTAAACTAGTCACTGACTAGTGTCCAATCAAAGGTGTTCATTTTAATAGAAAAACTAAGAGATGATACAGTATCGGTGTACAAATTAGCACAATATTTATAATATTATTGAGAACTATTTCTCAGAAAAATATGGACTCAAGTTTCTGACTTATAAGCATCTATCAGCCAGAATTACCTACAGTTTTGGGGTAACTCATATTCTCTTTGTGATAAGCATCGAAAAGGATATCAACTTCGTGTCTTCCAGCGTAATAACTAGAACACAAACCTGAATGATACATCTTAGTCTAACTTAGGAATAGATATTTGGTTTAGTTACTGAAAGATAATCAGTCTTTCGGAAAAATTTAGCTAAGACTAGGAGAAGTAACCGCCTTTCTTGATGACTTGACTGTGACTGGCTGGTTGTTTTCAGAGGTCTACTTATCATTGTGCTCACTTCTGTTGATATCAACCGATTTGTTCACCTGGTGTTTGACGTATTAGGAACTCGGGTGATTGTTTACTTACTGATAGATGTGATCGATATTAACATATACAGAATGATTCGTGCGACAGGAATTCCCTGTCATTTGTAGTATTACCTCATTTTCGCAGTGAAAACGGTACCCTTAGTTGTCCACATATGTTGACATGAATCAAAACATTTTATGTTTTCTGGCTACTAGTTTATATTCCAGGATGAAAAGGTGAAGGAAACACCCATTTTGGAAAACATAATGTTATTCGCAGTTGGTGCTATGCGTCCTACGGATGATTTGACTATCACCTTTTGTTCGACCTTTAAGTCTCTATGATGCTGAAGAAAATAACTGTATTAGTTCACCGGGCACCGTTTACTTCAAAAGATTTCACTGTTGTAGCAGTGATTTCAGACATAGACAGAAGACCAGTAGTTCAGTGAAAAGTCACTTTTCGGCGAATTCATTTTCATAGCTGTACAATCACAAATATATATATGGTTATTTTGTATGTATGTGTACATTGAATTTGTCAAACGAAAATACAATTAGTAAGTTTTTGGTGCAGTTAGGTAATACAGAAGGCGTTCAGATGAATTGGATGTTGATATAAGAGAGTAGTAACAAAAGTGATGAGTTATCACAAACGATTGTTAAAGAAGAGTTGCATAATAACATGAGTATTTTGATGAAAGAATTGTACTCAGGGTGTAAATGGAAACAAAATAACCTACGGAATTACCTAAGGGTTTTAAGTGGTTATAAAAATAAGCATACAAGCAAGAGTTAAGTGAAATCAACAGAATTGTTACCATGATAGTAGAAGTGGTTGAATAATTTTCTTTTGTATGCATAGTTCTGGTTCTTCTAACTGAATGGCTAGGGCTTCTGCAATGCAAAGAAGACGGAAACGTATTGTCTTTGGCAGGTTGTTCTTCACTTTGTAGATTACTTTGAAGGAGGTGTTTGTTGAGATGGGATGACCAGTGGTGACGAGATGTTCGATTATTGCACTATTTATACGACCACTACTTCCTTTCTGCAGCCACGCTGGATAGTGTTCTTGACCATTTTTGACAGGATGAGCGTCAAACGATCGATGTGCCTGGCTCCACAGCAACAGGTGAACTGAATATACACATAGAAGTGTTCAGGTACGAGATCTTGTCCTTTGGGCTTTCGCAGATTGGCGGGTGACTGGAGAACACTACTCTCATTGTTGCCGCAAAGAAAATTCTTCTTCGTGGCAAACTTCGAGAACGGCCCACTCAAATCAGCTATTGATAATTTCCAATTGTATGGTAGATATGTGGGCGACATCTTCATTATCAGTGATGATAGTCACTATCTTAATCAGTTACTACAAATATTCAAAAACTGCGATTCAGCTATAAAGTTCAGTCTCGAAACAGA